ATATGGGAGGGCATTGCTTTCTTGACCAAAACCTGTCACTGGCTGCTACATCAAATTTACAGCTTTGGTCTTTGCTGCTTCTGTTTGATGAGAGCACTGATTTTTTTTTAATTTTTTTTTTTTTTCAAAACTAACATTGAATTGATTTCTTTTAATGTGCCAGTAAAAAGTCAGTTCCCTTTTCTTCCCCTGTTTATATGCATTGTAACTGTGGATTCTGATGGACCAGCCATCAAATTTTAACTGCCCTCTGACAGCGTGTAACTCGTTTACAAGCACACAGGACTAACACAAGCTTGCCATCAGCTTGCTGTATAATGTTTCCTTTTTTTCCAGCTCTGGCAGCTGTTCGTGCAGGTGTTGGTTGTGGTATCTGAGTAATGTGGTGCTTGGCTACTTGGAGTTGTACCCGGCCTCTTGGATACACAGTGCTGTGGTTAACTACTACAGTTTGTCTTTGGAGGGAGCTTTTCTCCCTAGTCCTGAGAAACCAGCAAAATTGGAAGTTTTCACTATATTCGTTTGGTTTTCCATGTTTGATGTTCAAGTGACCTTTGGGTGCAGTGGCTGTTCCCCTCCCTTGCACATATTGATTACCACAACTGGAGATCCTCAGATCTTTCAGCTGGCTAGGAGGGTTTTGTTAAAACTGTCCGAGTTTCTGGTTTGTAGAATTGTACGTAGGTGGTTTTACAATGCATTAGGAAGAAACACTAATGACGTAGCATCACAAGAAGCATTTCAAAAAGCACTTCAGTAGAAGACAGCCACGAGGCCTCGTGTCCGTGTGTGATGGCAGTCAGCTCTCCTGGACCAAACCACCTTCATGATACCATTGCATTCTGTGTTTGCAATTCAAGCTTAATTCCTTTTTTGTTCTGTTTGTTTCCATAGCTTTTTTTTGTTGTGTTTTGTGCATTTTGAATAGCTTTATTCACATGGGTTTTTCATGCAGACTTCCCTTGGACAGTAAATTGAGTTGTTTGTGCATGTGAACAACTGAGAATTAATGTTGGCTTGATAGAGTCATAATATGGTTTGTAATGTTGTTCTTCCCTGAGACCACTGGCTTGTCTGGTATGGAAAATTTATTTAGAACTTCAGCTATGTTTGAATAAAGTTAAAGTAATCCAGTTTGTTTATAAATTAAACACAAAAGCCCACCCAGCCCTGAAAACCAGCATTTTGAGGAACGGCACCAGGATGTTCCGATGCGGTGGGATAACGAGCTGGCGTCGCCGAGGGGAGCAGGCGGCTGGGACTGCAGGGCTCTGCTCTGGGCTCTCCTGAGTGGCACTGCAGAGTGCCCTGGCAGAGGAGGTGGTTTGGTTGCAGGGAACACAACTGCTGTGCAGACACAGCCGTGGCACTAAATCAGGTGCTCCTTGGTGGGATGATAAACCAGAGGTGGCAGCTGAGCGCGGTGCAAGGTGTGGAGCCACCCTGTGTGATGCCCCTGCTCCTCCCAGCTGGTGCCAAGTGCTGTGTGGTTCCAAGTGCACTGATGCTCCTCTTGGTCTCTTAAAACAAAGGAAAGAAAGCCCAGTTTGCCCAGGACAACTGGTGAGCAGAGGGAGCTGCTGTCAGGCCCTCTGAGAACTGCTGAGGGGTGTTGGGTTCAATCTGAGTCTAAGTGAACAACACTCCTATTGTTGGTGTAACTCCATACATATATATCTATATATACATATATATATCTGCATATGTATATCTATAATATAGATATATATATTTAAACCCTTTTCATTCCATTAGTACAAGTAACACTTGTTTCCTGTTATTTTGTTTGTCAACCGTGTATTCAATCACTGGGCTGAACAACAGTGGAGGAAGGTGCAAGGGATCCACTCCTTACTAACCAGTGATAAAGCCAGATATTGCAACTTAAACCCATGAGTAGATGTGCAGACAAGGATTGAAGAGTGATGTGTAGAAACAACACAAGTGGCCAGGGGTGCTGAAGATACAGAACTCAAGTAGACAGGAGGGCTTCGAAGGACACCTCGGTTCAGAACTGGTTGCTCAGAGGTGCTGAACAGCCTCTGGCATGGAGCAGCTGGGTCAGTCAGCACGGAGGAGTTTGTGGGGAGACCCCTGACAACAAAGGACGCAGCAGTGGGGATTTACAGAGACACAGGGCTTGGCAGGAGTTTGAGGTAGTATCCTGAGCTTAATCTGTGGCACAGCATCAGCGCTCAGGTGTCCCAATTCTGATTGTTGGTACTTGTAAATGAACCTCTGGATTTTGCAGCTGGAGCAGTAAATTCCTTACCAGGAGCGTGACAGTGCTTGGCATCGGCCTGTACGGATTGGTCTCGCCTACAGTCGGCCTGTTCTGCAAGTACCTTAGGACTTCACTAGTTTGTGTGTGTGCATTTGCGTGTGTGCTCATATATATTTTTTTGGGTATGCGTTCTGTTGATTAGTAACCATTAATTAGCATTTTCAATAGGGCTTTAAGTCCAGTAGATTACGGGTAGTCAGTTGACGAAGATCTGGTTTACAAGAACTAACTAAATGTTTCATTGCATTTTGTAAGTACATAGAATAATTTTATAAAATGTTTGTAGTTTATAAATGCCTAAAATATAATTTAAGGGCACTTTTCTGTGTCCGTGTGTGGGTGTGTCTGTCTGTGATCAGTTTTTCCATGGTACCAGTTACTAGTTAGCTTTACAATATGCCAAAAAGGAATTGCTGACTTGTCCAATTCATGGCTTGTCCCTCTCCCCTGTCCCGCCCAAGCTTTGTGACCCAGTATACAGCGAGTGAGTAAAGGAGGTGGGAAAATGTTCTGTATCTTCAGTATCCTGGTCTTCCAGAGCCCTCTGGTTGGGGTGGGATCTCTTACCTGGTCATTTCACTTTGCTGTCTAGGGCAGTTCCCTTCATGGATGTCAGGAGCCTCACTGGTCAGGGAAACAGAGCGGGGTTTGCTGCTCCCCAGCTCTCGGGGCCGCTCGGCACCTGCGCCACGGGAGCCTCGTGCTCTGAAGGATGCCACTGCCTAAGGGAAAGAGGGAAGGTGGTTTTGGTAATTACTATTGAAGAATTCTTCGCAAATTTCTTATCACTTTAAATGCTTGTGTGCAGCCTCTAAAGCTGTTGAGCACCATTGGAAGCTTTGTTGAAATGAGCAAGGGAGGGTCCCTATTTATTGTTATTTAAAAATCTTGAAGATCCAACCTCTCTGCTGTGGACAGGGATGCCTTTCTCTTCTGTTTTCTGAACCAGTGAGGTTTGAGATGAAAGGATTGGCCAGAGTTTGTCTACCTCTGGGACAAAAAACTAGAAAGTGCTAAGGAATGGATGCAGTTGCAAATACATTTTCCAATTTTTCTTGTTTAAATTTTTTTAAGAGAAAATTAAACAATAACATGGCCAATTTATTACATAAAAAGACTTGCTGTGTATAAATTATTCCTAAAGAAATTCCTGTGTTTATATTAAAATGAATCAGTAGATTAAAAAAATTTCAAAATGTTTTTGTATATTCTGTTGTAAGAATTTATTCCTGTTATTGCGATATACTCGGGATTCTTTACATTATGAAAAGAAGAAACTTTGTCTATTTTGAATGGCTGAAGCTAAGGCTCCTTTAGTTTCTCTTACTCTGCTTTTTTCTAGTAGTTTCAGTACTACATGATTTAAGTTAAATAAAAGAATTCTGTATGCATTTGTTTGTTTCTGATTTTGTTGCTCCTTATGCAAACCGAGTACAGGTTAGAAAACTCAGAGCAAAGCTGCTCTGGTCTTCCTCTGCCCTTTCTGGCTGTATCTAATGGAGCTACTCTTAATAGGAGTCAGTAGTGCCATTGTTTGGTTGAAATCAAAAGCATTTTCATCCAGAGACACTGAGCTTTTGGATCCTTCATGGCTGACATTTGAGCAGTTTAGCACGAGGCAGTTCCTGTGAATAAGGTGAGCATTGTTAGTTATTTATTTACCTGCAGAGCAAATGCCATGTGAGGCAATCAGCCAGCAAGCACTTGGTTTTCAGCTTTGTGTAACACTGGAAAGGACAGTGGCCAGAAAGCCAGCATTATCCTGGCATTTCCAGTTCCTCAGAGTCTTGGCACCAACGTGTTGACTAAAACAAGGCTCAGTGGCAGCGTGAAGCCCCAGCAGCTGCCTGTGCTGTTGCATTTGTCTCTTGTCTTTTTTACTGATGGTGCTTGAGGAACAGGCTTTTTCTCTCAGGAGATCCCAGGTGTCCAGATTAAGCTGCTGCTGTGCTGTTCCTGACTGATTTCATCTCGTCCTTGTGTCCTGGCAGCAGGATTTCAGAGGAGAGTGTGGACATTCCCTGTGTGCTGAAGGGCAGTGCTGTGACCCTCTGTGGTACCCAGCACATCTGTGTGGAGCTGTTTGAGATGGGGAGGATTCTGCTCCCATGTTTTACAATTTGGGATCTCCTTTGGTGCCTGATCTGTAGGTAACCTCACATCCCCTAATCCTCACCACAGCACAGTGGTTCAGGATTGCCTCTCTTGGGACAGGTTAGCTGTTGGATTTGCCTTTGGGCTGTGCTCTGTGGAAGGACTAAGGGGTTTTCCCTTGGGACAGGCACTGAGAATTTGGGGGAAGTGGCTGTTTTGGGTTGAAACTCAAGTTACCAACAGCATTATAGATCCTGCTGGTTTCCAGATTTTTGTGTTCTCTGAAGTCACTCTAGCTCAGAGCCCATTGCTGATGTGGAAAGCAGCATCTACAGCAGGTCAGTAAGAGAGAACTGTAAAACTTCACATACCAGAATCTCCAAGTGTGATTTGGTTTCTCCCATATCCAAGTTTTTTGTGGGCTGAACTTTGGACACAGGGGCTGAAGGGGATCTCTGTTACATCCATCCTCTGCTGAGTCCTTACGGCTGTGAGCATCCATCTGGGGTCATCAAGTCTTTATTGATGTCTTTCTAACCAACAGAACCAGGATTAAGCATCTAAAATGTTTTCAATCCAGTATCACAATTTCTGAAATCTAAACAACTTTATTGTTAGCAATATGAACCACCAATCATTTTGCTTTTTTCCCCTCAAGCTTTTTCTAAGAGATGCAAATGGTTGAGTTTGCAAAGAAATTTCACTGAAAATAATGTGGGCTATAAAATCCTTTGTGTGTGGGTTTTAAATAATCTTTAAATCTGCTTCATTTCAAAGGTAAGGAATTACATTCTAAGAAATCATCATTTTTTCCCCTCTGTGATCCCTCTCTCTTTGTTCCCCACACTGTTCTAACATTGCTAAGATAATGGTCTGTAATGCTTTTCCTAGAAATTCTGCTGTTACTGACTCAGATAATGGAGGGACATGGATGAAAGCAGCTCTTCCATTGCCATAATACAGAGAAGTGTAGTAGGTATAATCACAGATGTACCTGCAATATTAAGAACAAAACAAAACCAGAAACCTGAATTAAGGCTCAGTAAACCTTGTTTAATTTAAATATTCTAAGCAGCCAAACCAGATCTGGTTTATGAAATTATTAAGAACATATTTGCTTAGTGAGTAAAGGAAATGCTGAAATAAACCAAGTTTGAGAAACAAATGTTGCTTATCTGATGGTTTGGTTTCTCAGACACCCACCCACAAAGAACTTTAAATAAAAAAATATCACAAGACAGGCATTCTTGTGGGGTGGGAAAGGTAACACACCCTGCTGGAAATTACAACCATGTAACACAGTTTTTGTCTAAGTCATAAAATCTCCCTGTCTGAAGGGATTTTTCTGATCATTCCACCTTTTAAAATTCACGTGCAAATCTTGAATTTAAGGGCCAATGTTAGCTGATTTTTATTTAAAATAAAATAAAAATTACTGGTTTGTTTTCCTTTCCAGTGAAGACTAGCATAGTAGAAAATTGCTTCAGTGCTACTGGAATACATAACGAGATCACAGGCCTGGTTCTAACAGTACCTGTAATTGCTGTTCTCCAGTCTATCTGTTTACATTTTGTATCCCTCCCAGCTGAGAAAAATAGATTAAAATCTGCTACAAGTCTGTATTGTTTTCAGAGTCTCTTAATAGCTGAGGTTTACTGAGTTGCTCATCACAGGGTGTGCTATGTTGGAACTTGTTTCTTTTGGAATTTACAAATCTATGGAAAAATATCTACTGGCTGTAGCTTTTCATGAAGGCTGCTTTACATAAAACTTAAAATTATCTCAGTTTCATACTTGTGCCCCTCTGAATACTCTGCTTTGGAGTGATTTTGGTTGGAGGAGAGCTCATGAATGAGCAGATTGAGTTGTTTTTGTGAGCCCCTGATAGGCGATGTTTACCTTCCCGCATCTCTGGAAAGGATGATATCAATCCCTTCCACTGAGATGTTTTTCCAGAGAGTCTTCATATTAATTGTAGATTCAATCTTTTCTGGGCCATCTAGCACACAGCAGGCATCTTCTGGGTGAAAACCACAAGCATCCCTCTCCTGGTAGCCTTTGTTCTTCCCACACTGCTCCAGGATGATGAGCGCTGTGGTGGACGAAGCCAGCCCAACGTGAACTGTAAGCTGGTTTTTCCCACCAGGAGAATAATAGCAAATTAAAAATGAGACCTGCTTTTTGAAAACATGTGATGCAAAAGGTCCAAGCATTATGTGAATTACTGGCTTCAAGGTGGGGAGTCTTGCTCATGTCTAAAGAAAACTTTGATAAGGTTATAAATGAGAACCAAATTAGGCTGCAGTTTTTGTTGTGTCTAGTCAGGACTGCAGAGCAGCAGTACCTTTTTTGCAGTTCATGGTAGATATTTTCCTTTCCTTTGTTCAGCATGAGTTATGCTGTTTAACTGGCACGGGGTTAAACCAGCATGCTAATTAGTGTGTGCACTGAATTTCAGCTTGGAACCTTGATCACAGTTTCAATAGTCACTTCCCAGAGTTGTTTGATGTTTTGCAATACTCTCTTGGAGATTTTTTTCATTGTATTCAGGGGAGGGGAGGAGATTGTTTAACTTCATCATTACCCACCAGTGGCTGAAGAGTTGTCCATATCTTGCAGACTTGCTCCTTTGCTTTTTGGTAAACCACTGGCAGCTGCATGATCTGGAGATCAATGTTTTCACCAAGGCCTCTCTTGGACAGCTCCTGTGTTTACAAAAAAGCCACTGAGGACTTGAAGGAGCATTGGATTTCTGACTGTGATAAAGAAACTGGGCTGATTCAACTGAGGAAACACCTGAAAGAGCTACACCCTTTGCCCATGGTTCCTGAACATTGGTCTGCAATGAGATTTGTTTTGTGGTCGCTCCCTCTGTTTTAACTGGAAGAGACTAAAATGTGCTAAACAGTTTCCTAATGTCACGTCTGTCTGTGTGGAGCCATTGTTGTGTTTTCCAAGGAGATGCTCAGTCTCCAGTGGGTGGGAGGGGTTATTGCTTTGGGATTGGGCCCTGGAGAGCCATGAAGCGGTGTCTCTCAGAAAAGCTCCACCCTTGAAAGCATCTAAACAGGCTTTGCTGTAGGTAAGAGCTGTTTCTCTGAAAGATCTGGTAGAAAAACTGCACTGCCAAGAGACAAAACCAAGACAAGATCTGCTGGCTTGACCAGGTTCTGGTAAGATGTGCAGAAGGTTACTGTCAACACGAGGAAGTCACATTTAGAATGAGTTTAATTTATTTTTTGGTCTAGAATGTTTCTCTAGTAAAAGGAAATGTCACTGAGATGTTACTTCTCTGTCAATTATGTACAGTTGAATTTCCACAGAGGACCAATTGTCCTGAAGAAAAAATTATGCCCAGAACTGAGGTAAATGGAACAAGGGTACCCTTCAAAGCAGCAGGTTGGCCAGGTGGTTGGAAGATGGTCTGGAGAAGAAATGTCACATGGAAGTGACTTGAAATGATTTTGTCAGTGGAACAGGGCTAACAAACCAGGCCTAGGCCTCAGCAGAAGGTAAGCAGCTGCAGTGGCACGATGCAGAAGGAATTCATCTGAGGTGGGAAGCTTTGTCCCAGAAAATAGAATGGTGGTTGAAAACCCCTGTTCCATTTGAGTAAACCACTACCAAAGGTACAGGTTAGGTTTTTAAGTGGGCACAGGCAAAAGTGAAGGTGTCTGATTAGTCCAGGAGACCTGTAACTGTAATCACTGTCATCGTCTTCTCAGGGTTTTTTTTCTCACTCAGGATGCCCATGCGAGTGAGGTCCACAGTTCTGGGAAATTTGCCCTTCCACACTTGCTTCCTATATAAACTGTTCCAATTTTCTTGTCAGCGGAAGCATTGATTAGCTGTGCTCAATAAACTGTTTGACACAAGCAAGGAAACAATGCCTGCAGGGAAGTAAACACATTTGGAGAACAGTGCCAGCCTTTTTTCCTGTGGGCGCTGACAGTCTTTGAGAGCCCATTGCATCATCTCGCTGAAGAATGCTGTACTGTGCCTCAGCCTCCACACAAGAAAACCCCAGCTGGTTCACAATTAGCATTTTCTTTTCCAAAGCATTTTTAATTTTTACATCTAATGAGAGTCTTTCAAACTATAAGGCTTAGAGGACTCGATTACCCCTAACTTTGGTGCAGAACATGGAGACCCAAAGCCAGCTGTAGTGCTGTTCTCTCGTGCTCTCTGGGTCGAGACATTCTGTTGTCACCAGTTGTCATGGCAGAAACACACAGAAATACTTTTGTGCAGGACCAAACTGAAGCTGGCCAATAGCAAATGGCTGAGAATTTGTGTCAAAGGAAGATGGTTCTCTATGTCCTAAGCAATTTCAGCATGTTGTCAATAATGTGTATTACTGTGTTGTCTAACAATCCCAGCCATGGGTTTACACCCTGTGACACCAGATGTGTAAACGCGGAGCAAAGTAAAAAAAGGCTGTTCCTTGTCTCAGCCTTAACCAGAACCAATTCTGCATTTAAAGTGGGAGACTGAAGATGGATGGTTAGAGGAGGGTAACTGCTCCTGGAAACCAGAGCTCACACTGGTGAGTGAATTTAGTAAACAAGTGCCTGTATTTTGTAGTTGAAACAGGAAAGGAAATTTTAAAGGAGGGGAAGAGTGGTTCAAAAGAAAACATGAAGATTCTTTCTTGGGAAGTTCTTCTAGGAGGGAGAAGAAATCCAGCATTATCAGCTGCTGACCTTGAGCTGTTGTGAGTTGTGGTCCACTGGTGTTCTGGTCCAAAGAGAAGTGATTTGCACAGCACTGTGCTCAGGTTTGTGCTGGAAACTCTGTGTGTTGGAAATAGCTTGAACTTCTAGAAAACTCTGGAAAACATCACTGATTTTGCCTGAGTTCTCACTGATTTGGGTTGCTGCAAAGGTGGTTGCTTGTGTTAATTTTGTGAACTGCTCACGCTGGTGCAGAAAGGAAACCAGAAGGTTTTACTTGCCCCAGCCAGACTGCAAGTACGTTGCAAACAAAGGTGTTTTGTGTGGCTGGTTAGTGGAGGTTTTGTTTATGTGTTGGGTTTGGATTTTTAGTTGTTTTAAGTTGTTGGGGTTTTTTCTAAACCTGTAGATACCTTCTTAAAACTTCAGGGATGTAAGAAAGTTCCAACACAGAAACGAAGGCACTAAATAGCAATGTCTTACTTTCACAGATAATGAAACTAAAGCAGAGAGGGGGAGAGAGACAGATTAAATGACAGATTTCCAAAGACCACATGGTCAGTGGCAGGATGAAAAACTGTGCTGGGAGACCTGATCCTCATCTCCTGATAGCAGACATAGTTCCCAGAAGCAGTTGGAAATGTGACCTGTTCTTTGCACTAACAGTTTAATTACTATGAATGTTGTCAGTCAACTTATATTTGTGCCCTGTTAACTGGGGACTCTGACCTTGATGGTGGAGTGCCCTGATAGGTCATTTTACTGCCAACCTGCAGACAGGACTTTCTGGAGGAGACACAGCAACAGGGTTGAATCACGGGTTATTGGGTGGGACCATTAATCTGTAGCATGGAATAAATAAATCAGGAGATCTGGGATTCTGAAGGTCCCATGTGGTGCTGCAGCACTAACACATTGTGGTAACTCTTTGATTTGTCAGCAAATGCAGAGTAAACACCTGGTGGTGTTTTCCTTTAGTGAGAATGTCCTGCACTTCCAGAGTTAAAAGTGTTGCTGGCAGAGCTTTCGTGCATATTTTAGGAGGGTATTTCAGGTGAATGAAGTTATGAGAACCATGAAAAGCTTAGTGAGACAGGTTTCTAAAAGATAAGCTGTCTTTCTAGTGCTGGACAACCATGCTGGGCCAGGTGATGGTGTCTGTAAGAGCTCTGAAGCTTTTCTCCATGACCTTGAATTGACAGGTTTGTCTGTGCTTTTGGGTCCATTTGATCCCCTTTTCCCTGAACATTCGAAGGGTACCTGCTGAGGAACAAAAACTCCATGGATGAAGAATGCAATGCTGATGAATGCCATGTGTGAGAGTCTCTGTCATGAGAACTTAGGTCCATGCAAAAACAATGGAGAATTCCTCACCTTCTTGGAAAATTACGTCTTCATGTTCTTAAAGAGGAAATTCAGGACAAATACCCTTTTTAAACCAGTAAATATAGAGATTTGTAGAGTTTTACTCACATGTATCTTTGGATTTCTGAGGACTTCAAGGGAAACTGGCTTATTCACCAAAAAGGCAGTAGTAGTACATAGTTAATTTGTAAGAGAAGTAATATTTTTCTGCATGCCCAATGAGGACATAGAAGGGATGTAGTTATTGGAATGGGCTGTGCTCATTGGATCAATCTTTGATCCTCCCTAGAGCAAGAAGAAAGGTTAGGAGCACAGCTGATCCCATCAGCAGCTCCTTGTGGAGGAGCTTAAGGAAGCAGTTGTGAGTAAGAGCAAGTATTGCTCATAGAAGGGCAGCCATGGTTCTTTGGCCAAGGATCCATTTCAAGAGCATGGAGAGTGAGGCTATGCTTTGGAATTAGGACACTGGAACTGTTAAATGTATTTTTACAGGATTTCAGATGCTTTTGGTATGAAGATCCTTCTGGGTTGTGAACTTCTAAGACTGCGTGTATCAACATTACATCATCACTGAGGGTGCTATCCAGGCTTTTGATAAGCACCTACTGCATTTTGGGGTAATAATGAGGATAGTTCTGGGTAATGCTACAAAGGCATTAAGCCTGACCAGTCATATTTAGTAGGTTTGTTCTGGCTGCTCATCACGTTGCTGAGGATGAATCTGAGTGCACACTTGCGTGGTTCACAGCAAAGAGACTTGGCAGGAGGGTTTATGTCACTCCATTGATCTATGCAGGTACCCCAAGCCAAGACAGGATTACTTCCAGATGTAACTACTAAATTTTGCTATCTTTAATATATGTGCATAAGCTTCCTGAAGATCATAGGGCTACTCCCATGAATGAGGCCAATGGAACAATACTACGAGATTGCTATTTAGTGTGGAGAAGCCCATCGAAATTCAAAGTGCTTCCAGATTTGCAGCAAATTTCTCTGAATTGGCTGAATTAACCACCTTTGCCAGGGAGTAGGAAACCAAAGCAGCATCCCCACTCTGAATACAAATTAATTCCACATAGAGGGTGCCACATCAGAGTGAAATGGATTTGTTCTCCTCCATGCACAAGGACTGACATCTGTTTTGCTAGGGAATGCTGTGGCCCTTGTTATGCAACTCCCTGGCATGGCATGGCCAGCTCGTGGCATTGATGCAGAAAACTCATCCCATCGGTGCGTTCTCGCTCGAGGCTATTTTGCTTGCAGATAAAGAACATGCTCTATTTTCAGCCAGAAGAGGATGGTCTTGCACCCAAAATTAGAACCAATAGGAATCGGGAAATAATGAGCAAGAACACTGTCAACTGACAAATATTTGTGGTTTAGGGCACATGTCAAGTTGGAGTTAGGATAATTTACGGGTCTCCTGTCATGACTGGGGTGTGGAAAGGTATCACAAAAGTATTTTTGTTTTTTGTTAGCCTACAGGGATAACATCCCTCATTACTTGGAAGGGGCAATAGATTTGTTCTACCAAACACCAAGCTGCACTCAGCATTCTTCACCCAACAACGCTAGAATAGAAAAGATGTATAGAAAAGGTGGAATTACTATAGCTTTGGTCATTGCAAAAACATACTGGCTTAGCTAGAATAGAAAAGATGTATGTTTAGGTGGAATTACTATAGCTTTGGTCATTGCAAAAACATACTGGCTTTTTGTTTTTCAATCATCTTGGCTTGAGTGCACTTCATTTTCAAAACAGCTATTCAGTAGCTGTCACCAAAATTTGTCCTGAGGTTATAGTCCTGTAGAGCCATCACCTTTCTGTCACTACTAATACTTTCCTATAGCTAACTTTCTCATTTCATCGTCCAAAAGCATTAAAAACGGTATGGATTTATTTCAGTCTTCATAATAGAACACAGTCCCCTTGGTTTGTTTTACATGTCCTACTTTCCATTTTACCAATATTATCTGTCATTTCTTGTACATTTTGGACCAATGCTCCAATTTAATTTTACTACTTTGACTGTTCCCCCACTAGTTTCAGATTTCATTGTGTAACCTCCTTTCTACCTTGGGATTGCTAAAAACTTATGTGGAAGATCCTCTCACAATAACTCTGTTCATAGGTACCTTATGAGAGTAACTGAACTCCAGAAAAGGCTGCTGTCCGTGACAGGGAGAATGAATCAGGTGATGCTGAAAGCCAGGTATCCAAACCATGTCTTTGTATCCCCCAGCTAAATTTGTTCTACTACACAGATTTAGGAAACAAGCAGGAATTTTCAAGACTGCATCTGAGACTTGTTATTGCCAGTCAAGGTGTATGGAGGGAAAAAAACCCTTCTGAATGACCTTATTTTCAATTCAGCTGTAGAATTCACTGTCATTTGAAAGTGGAAGCCAAAGCTGAAAAGTGAACTCACACTTAGAGCTGGCACAGTTTAGGTTCTGTGTTCCTGAAGCAGGCAGTGAGAGCTCAATAGGCTACACCTGCGTGAGAAGGAAATCACCTCACACAGACAGGATAAAATTAACTGTGGTGGGAGAGGTGATGGTTTACTGCAGACAGACATAACCTGTGGCACATGCAATAGTTGTAGAGAAGACACAATGAATAAAAATAAATTTTTAAAATAAAGAATAATATTTTAAAGTTCTTAAATGGCACTAAAAATAATGCAAGTGAAATAATATTTTACTGCATTATCCTCTTTGTTCCATGTTGGGTGTCTGCTCCATGAGGCACAACGCTGTTTAATGAGTCATGAAAAGGGAATGGAAAGCTTAAAACCAGTTTGTGTTGGGATGTCTAAAAATTAAAATGCCTCCCTCCTTTTTTGGTTTTTTTTTTTTTATGCCTACCTTCACTGCTTCCCAGCTGGAATTAACCAGGTATTGTCTGAAGGGACCAAAACCTGAAAAGAAAGAAAGGTGGTTTTAACCTGTGCTTACTCTACAATTGCAGATTAGGTGCTGATGTGTGCACACACATATTTGATCTTTATCTTCCTATTTTTGGTTATGGAGGTTGAGCTTTTTAAATAGGATTTAGCTTTTATAACTCTTAAGGGAATAGTATTTTCAATTTGTGTATTCACCGATAAAAGAACTAATCCTGCAATGTCCATTCATGTCAAGGCTTTCTTAAGAGAGAGCCTTAACTGGAGCTGGTTAAATGTACCTCCAATAGGACAGATCATGTAAATGATGATTTTTGGGGAAGGGTCATCATCCATAGAAATAACACTACTAAAAGTTATGGTATTAAATACTCCCAGGCACAGTTAATGTATCATTCTTATTGTTAAAGCTCATGAAGATGAAGATATGAAAATATATTTAATGAAAATGTTTCAAAGAGTAAAATTTACTTAATCTGTGATTTATTTTAATAGCAAGTAATGAAAACTTACAGTTTTCTATCTGGGAAAATATGGGTTTTTGTGATGCTGGGAAAAATGTCTTCACTTTTTCCCCCAGGAAGAGAGAGGAGAAAAGAGGAAAGAACACTTTGACTCCAAAGTATTACATTCAATTTTATGCATCTTTTTTGTGAAATAATTATTTTTTTAATAAAAAGGGAAAAGATCTAATTTTGAGCAGATGGACATTTTGTCATTAAAAAGTTTGAAGGAAAACTCCCACTGTCTTTATTAATCTCAATTAATGTTCTCAATCCAGAGTGTTGCGAAGTCCTAGATATTGGGTGTCAGGAAAATGAGTTTGTGAAATGGTTTTAATGCTATAACTCTTAAATATTTAAAATCCTTAAATGGACAAGTAAATACTTGACAGCAGATGATTGCCATTTTGCACAGTGAAAGCTACTTGTATGTGGAGACAATTAAGCCTAAATGCAGGCTTGTGACAGCTTAATTAGTGCTAGACTTTAAGCATTTCTTAATTTGTTAATATTTATTTCATAACTGCTCCATCTTTTCTCTTTAATGTTATGAAAAGCTTATATTTTGGACAATATTTTCTCCAGGTTTGAGTTTCTCCTATGGTGAGGGAACAAAGAAAATGGTGCTCATTTCACATTTCCAGGAAACACAAAACTCCATTTTCCCACTCTGCTTTGAGAGGAAAATTTGGGTGGCACCTGCTCCATTTTGGAGCTGTAGTTGTACAAGTTTCTGTACCTGTGTGTGCAGAACTACAGAATTATAGTAAAGTTATTAAGTAGATCACAATGACTTGTGACAATCACAAACACTTGTGTCAGTGGTGGCCCTAAGAAACCACTGCTTAGGATAAAATTGCTATGAAAAATAACAAAATATATGAGAGTTTTACTGCAATACCTACAGCAATGTGGAGAGGTAACTGGTTGAATGCTACTGGGCTCCATGTAATAAACTGGGCTCCCTGCCAGCAGGTTTTTATTCTGAGCAGGTGAAAATGTGACAGAGACATGCTGTGATAATCTCTGTAGTAGATTAAAGATGCACGTGTGTCTTAACTAGTCTAAAGCTTTTTGACCAAGGAGATTTCTGGACATAAATGGTGATCAAAAGGGAGGAAAAAACTAACAGGGTGCTAAGAAGTGTTCCCAACAAGGGTATGTGCCATAAATATCATAGGAGAGAACCAGACTGTCAGCCTTTTAGGAGGTTAGCAAATACCTCTTGCCCTCTCCTGCACTCCCATCCAGCTCATCTGCAGCTACGGCTGGAGCAAGCCAGACTAGTTCTGCCCATCTTGCAGCTATTAAAAAAAAAAAAAAAAAGAAAAGTGTTTAATTGAAAACAGCAAGATGCAAATCTCTTTGATGTAGCTTCACCCTCGTTCCTATATCCTCAGATGACCTGCAGTGGAAAATTATCCAGCAACTCACATGTCAAGATATGTGTAATGATTGCCCTTAGATGAGCCAGTGGCAACAAGAGGAACAGCGAGCAGCAGCATTCCTTAGGAGCTTTAACCTTTTAAAGCTCAGCCCTCTCTGAGCTGCTGGTTCTGCCTCTGTGATGCTGCACTAGCTGGAGCCAGCAAGAGAAACTCCAAATTTGGTCCCTTGTGCTGCATGTTCAGACATGTTCCTTTGGTATATTTAAATGGGATGGTTTAGTTTAGCTGTGATGAGGCAGCATCTCCTGTTTAAAACTCCCTTACCTTGCCATGAAACTGAGCCCCTGAAAGTTGCCATGTGCTGCTCTAATTCTGGACACTGACTGTATGACATTGTGATGCAACCTGGTTTTCTTGCTTCAGAGCTTCTTTTGGGTAAGCTTTATCTAATAGTAGCCTGCACTGCCTTGAGCTATGTGGTTTGGATCAGAGAGAATGTCAACAAAGATTAAAACATGGAGAGAATGAACAACAAACCAAACTGGATGGCAGTAGAGAGGGCAGACTGCAGTCTGTTTCCTCTGACATGCATCTGATTTTTCTTAGGAAGGCACAGCAAGTTATTTGCCATTTGGAAATGTTAGTATGACCATTTGCTACCCTTTTTCCCTCCAGGAAACTGTTTATGACAAAGATCAAGCATGCGTGCATACCATCTCTGGCTCAAAGAATGAAATACAAATCTTACCAGTCACCACCACAGTGTTGGAATTTGAATCCATGATATCTATGCTCCAGAAGGTGGAATCTTCTTGTCTTTCAGTTCCAAACAGTACTATAATTCAGGTATCTGTGGCAAACTTCATCTGGGGCACCTTTTTTCTTCCAACTGTGATGAGTCTGGCTTCACATGACAGGGATGATTTGTGACTCATGTAACTTTTAAAGCAAAAATGATTACGTCTCTATTAAAGATAGAAGTCTGACTGACTGGCTGACTGGGACTGCCCCAAACTCTTTCCTCTCCCAGGCGTGGAGTATTTAGGAAGAAGAGGAAAAGCTTAAAAAATTTCCTGCAAAATATCCAGCAATATTTTTCATCACTTGTTTATGTGCAAGTAAACAGAATATTAATTTAATCAGTTTTGATTATATCTCTGTGGGTATTCTGTTTTTAGCAGTTGTAACTCACTTTAATGATGAGGAATGGCAACTAGAAAAACTGTCCATTTCCACTGTTCTTGGACTTGTTCTTACTAACTTAAGCTCAGGGGTAACTTTGCTGTTCCTCTTCACAGCACTTATCTGATTTACTACTCTTGATCTTTATCCCAGGCTTGTTATGAAAGAGTCCAAGCACTGTACACTTTTCAAACCAAACACCAACAGGAAAATGTGTGTATTTGCTAACCCAAAACATTTACTCGGTAATACCCTTTAACAGGCAACATGTTAGAAAAATCTCACTCCAACTCGCAAGGTCAGAGGAACTCTAGAAGCTGGGTTATAGCTTGCTGAAACTGGTGAGTTTAATAGCTGGTCTGTCTTCATTAAAGTGGAGCCTGAGAGCCAATGGGGGGGGCCTGAAATCAAAACATATGCACATTGTCACTGCCCAAAACAAAAGCATATGCAAGTTCTCTTGGGAATTATAACTATGTGGGCAGAGGGTTTCACTGGGTCTTGTTTTGAGTAGGAAGTGTGTGTGTGTGTGTGTGAGAGAGAGAGAGAGAGAGGGAGGGGAGAAATAAGCTAAGAATAGAAATCCACTATATTATCTCAAGAGAGCTGGTAATTGTGAGACCTTAGGGAAAAAAAAAAAAAAAAGAAAAATCTCTGAAGAAATCCCTTGGGTTGGGTGGTGGCTGAATGAGGTTTGGAGCCATGACCTGTGTCTGTCATTTAAATCGTCCTGTGCTGAGACACAAAAAGATGTGTGGATTCTTTTTATTTAAAAGAGTCTGATTCCACCATCCATTTCTTCCCCTAAAACAACTTGCAGAATTAACTTTTGCTGGCTGCTGGGGCTGAAGGAGCTTCCAATACAGGAAACAGAGCTTTCTGCAGCTTTAAATAAAGCAGAATCTGCCACTGGCAGCACTGAATCACTTTTAAAATCCTACAGTCCTTCATACTCCTATGTCAATCAAGATTTTTATCCATTAATTTTTATGCTTGACCAGTCATTAAAACACTTCCTGTGATTCTGACCAGTCTTCTCATAGTTATTTTTGATTTGTGCTGTTTTGTTTTTTTTTTTTTTAGAAAAAAATCTAAGTACAGGGTGGTCTAATGAACAAAGAATTTGTAAGGAATAAGGTAAGATTTAAAGTCTTAATTAATTTCCAGGTGAGACTTTCTATTTTCTTTGGGACATGAGAGCTGCTTTATACATATATATATGAAGGGTATTACTTGAATGCTGTAAAATATTAGGTATTCCATGAGATATTCTTCCAGAGGGGAGATGTAAGTCTATTAGTTCCATGCACTCTGTAACAACTGATATGATCTTTTTGGAATGCAGTACTAGTTTTTAAAGTTTTTACAGCTGGCAAAAGGGAGTAGAAAAGAAATAGAGAGTAGCAAAGATTAATTCACTAAGCCTTTATGAAGAAGCTAATAGAAATTTGTAGGGGGGGAGAAGTACTGTCTTGAATAGTTGTTAGTCCCTTTTCTTAAGCAGATGTTTGTTGAATTGGAAGTAAAGATTCTGAGACCTGACTCTGATTCAGTGTTGGTAAATGCTTGTGCAAGTGTGGGAGGAATACTAGTGGTTTAAGCAAACCAGAATTTGACAGAGACCACTGAAATTAATTTTTGCACTGATTTAATTGGTTGCTCATGTTCCCAAGCTTTGTGTGCAAGGTAGTATACTTGGAGGAATAATGCATTTATTGCAGCTGTGCCACACAGTTAAAAAAGAATTGAAAGATTTGAATTAGGCCTTACTCAGAAATTATTCAGAAATGAAATAAAACCTTTTCTTTCCTCTAACATTTCTTCTGTTGAAGTTGAAGCTTCTCTTGGAGTTTTTGTTAAAGTATGATTGTAGCTTTAATATTAGCACTCCCATGGGTATCTGTGCCCAAAACAATGGATGTGAGGGTCACTGGATATTTGAGGTCTGTGCAAATTAATCTCCCTATCCATAATTAAGAACCAAGCCCTTGCTATTTGAAGGCAAGTCAGAGACACAGCTGACTCAGCTAAACACTGGGTGTTTTTCTTCTTGCTGTACACAGATGTGACTGGCACAGCACTCATCCTGAGGTAGAGAAGAAATGGAAGCAACTCAACTATGAAAATCCTGGTTATCACCTTGAATATTTTTCTGCACATTTGTCTGATACTTTCAAAAACTGCTTGAACTGCTGCTGAGTAAGAGAAAAATATATTTTCTGCAAATGCATTCTGACCACACTGCAGAGCTGGCAGCACACTGCTTGAGTAGCTTTTTAGTAGACGGCAAGAAGAACAGAATATGGCCCTTCATTTAGAAACAGCTCCTTAATTTTTATCTCTTTTATTATTACTTATATATATTTCTTTTATTTCTTGTTATTGGCAGGCACTGACCAGTGTTTTAAACTGTGAAGTGGAAGTGTTCAATATATTCCAATTTTTATTTCAGCTGTTCAGCACTTAATGCGAGGAGGGAGAAATCAAGCTGTTATGCTATTTAACACCAAACTATAATGGGACTTTAAATAGAAATTTCAGGATCTAAAACTCCATATTTCTTTTCCATTCTAATAAAAATAAATGGTCCTCAGGAAAACTGAAGCTGGTCTTTATGTAGATAGAAAGCGATGTCACAAAAAGAGAGGACACAAACATTTCAGTGTAAAGCTCACTGTTCCCTGTGGAAAGAGGCCTCTTCTACAACAAAATCCATGGAAATGGTAAATTGAAAAATATAATGGCAATTCCACTCAGGGTTTTTTTAGCAGAGACACCTTCCACTGTCCTAGGTTGCTCCAAACTCCATCCAACCTGTCCCTGAACACTTCCAAGAATGGGGCAGCCACAGATTCTCTGGGCAAGTTGTGCAGGGTCTGGTGTTGGATTGGAATTGTCATGTATTTTATGTTGTTTGATTATTTATTTCAGTTCTTCAGCAATTGAATCCCTTGGAATATACCTATTTTTATGGAGAAAATTGCAACTGAATATAGCCAAGCTGCTGAGTGGCTGTTATTATATCAGTTCTGGTCTTCTTGCAGTATTAGCAAAGCTAATGGCTGTGTATGGACAGGTTTTTAAATTTAATTTTTTGTTTATAATAGGGAGAAAAGACTTAGCAGGGCACATGCAACCCCTGATCAACAGGTTGCTTTTTTCATTTACCAGCACAGAGACTCTGCAAGTAGGATACACACAATTTAATTAATATTTATCAGCTAATATGTAAAATAACTATAACTAACAGATTGCTGGGCTGAACAGTAACATGCTTACCACTGCTGATAATAAAATGGATGAGTTTTAGCTGGCCAGGATGTTTCTAATAGGCTGGGGAAAGTTCGTCTCTGACATTTATTGGTGTGGGCTGATCCTCACCATTAGAGTTATCATCACGTTTTCTGGATTTTGATTTTTTTTTTTTTTTCTTCTTTAGAATCTTTTCTCTTTAATCTTTACCATTGTCATCCCACCAACAGCACTTGGATGGTTTCAGCTTCTTGTCTTTCCTGCTGCATCAAAGGAGACCTTGGAGCACAGCAGAGCCCAAGCTCTGGGCTGTGGGTGACACGGGGAGAGCTGGAATGTACGAAGCTGGAATGTACAAAGCTTCAAGGGATCGTGAGCGTGGGCTGAAATCCACTGAGGGTCTCTGAGGCGTGGTGATGTGACATCTGCTCTTTGGAGTGTCAGTGTATGGCCTGAAATCGCTTTGTCCTGTACAGGAAAAAAAAAAAAAATCATAAATTTACTCAACTGTGTATTTTAAAGCATTTGAAAGGAGAAACAATGCTGAGGGGGTTTTGGCTGCTGACAGGCAATGGAGTCCCTGTTGAGTAAGGTCTCCAGGTCACAGCAGCATGCCTGGATGCTGGAAGTGCAAAGGTGAGTTTATTTCTTTGCAAACGTACTGTTATTTCCATGTATCTGAGTCCTCTATGACTTTGATACTTGTATCTGCTATTTCAAATATAATTGAGTGACCCTGCTAGGGAGGTATTAAGGCTGCCTTGAGTCACATCCTGAATTCTACTTTTAATTTTGACAACTTTGTATTGGTTTTAGCCCCTATACCTCAGTTTTACGGTTTGTGGTAATGAACGGCAGGCAGCTGCCTATGTTTGCCAAAAGCCTCTTCCAGATTAACAGTGGTCACTGCAGAATGCTATAAAAATGTTACTTTTGTACTTATTTTTCCCCTCGTAAGGCTTCTGCCTCACGCCACCCGCATTAACACAAACTGGCGCTAGGCTTATGGTTTGCCATTCTGTGCCTTTCAAATAAATAATTTGGCATTTTTGTCGGAGTGTCGTGAGCCCAGATGCAGCGGGGGCCGGCCCTCTCCCAAAGCCGTGCCTCGATGGCGGGGCTGAGGGCATTCCCCGAGCCTGTGGGCATTCCCCGAGCCCCCAGCCGGCCTCGCCAGCCTCCCCTCGCCTCTCCGGGCACGGCCCCGCTGCTCCCCGCCCTCCTCTGCCCCCTCAGCCCCATCCCGGGCCCGGCCCGCCCTCAGGGCTGCCCGCGCCGCCCCGCAGGAAGTGATGGCGGCCGAGGGAGGAGGAAGAGCCGCCGCGGGTAAGAGGGAGGAGGCGGCTCGGGGTGGCCACGGGCGGCCGAGACGCTGCAAAACACTCGGGGCTTTCCAGGGAAGCTCTGCCCGGTTCCTGCGGCCGTGCCCCGGTGGGGCCGGGCCCCTCATGGCCCCTCATGGCCGCGCTCCCGGCAGCGCCTGGGGCAGGCGGACAGCCCGAGCTCTGCGCACAGGCTCACCAAGAACAGGTGCTGCAGGGTTTGTTTTCCCATTTCCCAGCGTCCAGGTGACTTTTCCAGGTGTTCGGCTAGTCCAAGCCTGCCCAGAGAGAGCCGGCCTGGTGGGTCCTGCCCGCTGTGGTTGATGCTGGGGAGAGGATGATCCCCGAACTCCTGTTTGCAGTGTGTGTTTGGGGCCTCAGCGCAGGTGGATGACTCAAGACTTCAGTAGATCTCAAGCCATTAAGGAACATTGGGAACACTGCATAAAATACCCATTTTCAAAGGTACCATCGGCAGTTGTTTACCCAAACTGAGCAAAAATCAGGGTTTGACAAGAGCAGCGGGGTTTAACAGGGACAAAGGAGCAGTCAGTAAACACGTTTGTTCTTGACCGCACAAAAATAGTTGGATGGTTTTGGTGTTGAGATGTAAAAGGCTTTGTATACTGCAGAGTAGCATACAAAGTATAGTACACAAATATACATATACTGTATAGTGCCCTTCAGTAAACACGTTTGTTCTTGACCGCACAAAAATAGTTGGATGGTTTTGGTGTTGAGATGTAAAAGGCTTTGTATACTGCAGAATAGAATACAAAGTATAGTACACAATATAGTGCCCTTCCTTTTAAAAGTATTCATTAGAGCTTTTCTTTGCTATTGACGAGGTGACTAGAGCAAGAAGCACATGGACATACAGGATGAACTTCTTTGTGAAAAAGCCACTCTCCCCTTGTCTCCTTTCAGCAAGAGTTGATTTGCTGGTATTTCTTGTGGGTGAAGATCTGCTCTGCCCAGCAGAACTCAGCTCTTCAGCACCTGGTGGACTTAGAGTGCTTTGAAATGAGCAGACATTGTGTCAGTTCCAAATGGCCAAGCTCCCAGTGCTTGGTAAGGAATGTGATTTTAGCATAGGTGGATCTTCTGTACATGCTCCACCATGGGTTTCCAGAGGAGTCTGGCATGTGCAGTGTTCTGGGTTTGTGTTTGGCTAGGAGGACTTCCAACAACCTCTGTTCACACACTTGTTTGGGTAAGGGCCCATTGCATCACCTCAGTTAGCTTTTGCACTGCTTTCCCTCCTGCTCTGTTTTTATACTCTTCTTTCTTAATTTGTCACGCTAGCAGGTAAATGGAGAGAAAGTGAATTTATCTTCTGAAACACATTTTAAGTTACTGCCATTTATCTAAAGCACCTACTTCATCCCCTTCAGTAAAATAATGATGTTGTTCATTAGTTCCTCTAGCTGCTCATGGCTAAATGCACTGCAGTCAGATTGCTCTATTTTTCCCCTCCTATCAACCACTTATGGAAGTCAAACATTTGTAATAATGCTGGTTTTTTTTGGGGGGGTGGGGTGGGGAAAGATTCTCAGTTCTACTGATTTTCTTAAATAAAATATGTCTAGATGAGTAGAACTTGGGTTTTCATGTCCAAGGAAGCATTGTACTGTTGGGCAGTTCAATTAATGTCTACATTTTTCCCTTTTCCATCACCCTCAGATTGAACGTTTAGAATAGTTGTTCTTCCATCCCCTTTCTCTTTTGGAAGAGCTGATGTTTTTAGGTGTTGTCTGAGTTTTGGTGTAGTTATGTAATTGCATAGATTATGTTTAAAATAATTATGGAGCAGTTGTCAATAACCAAGTTGAATATGCAGTACACTTTTAAGAGCACATAGTGTCAGCCATTAGCTCTTGTGCAAATATTGCTTTTCAGTTCATGTTGTGCTGTAATTGAGATGCTACAACTCGTCTTGATTGCTGTTCCTGTAACTGTTTTTCACAGGGAAAAAATGTTTATACTTCCAGGTTTCTAAGCCCCTTTACAGGTCCCAGGCAAACCTTGCTGTTGAGAAGCAGGCCAGCTGTTGACCTAGAACTTAAGGTACTTGTTTTAAATTCAGCCTTCTTGCAAATTCATTTTGCTTACAGAACACCTTGAAAGGCAGATTTATATGTGTTAACCACCTAACAGAAACAGTGAGCAACCACGTATATGCAGCTCTGGAGCCTGAGAAATAGTTAGTGGATGAGAAACCTGTATATCTGGTTTGGAAATTGCATTAGTGAAGCCTGAAATTTCCATCTGTCTCTCTAGGAAGATGGAAATCTCCCTGCCCTCCATGAAATCCGTGTTAATCAGTTTATAGGAAGGAGGTCAGCAGCCTGGAAGGTGGAAACACAAAATTCAGGTAGTGTATAGGCACTGTCAGGAATATGGCCTCTGCATCTGAAAAAACTTCTCAGAGCTCTAAGGTGAGACTGATTAACAACCAGACTCCTACAGTGGAACTAAAATCTCATGTATGGAACAGGTAGAATTTTACTCAGACTGTGTGTACATAAGAGGTGAGGGCTGCCATAATATTGCCACAGCTAAGGCAAGTTGTTGAAACCTTGCTGTCTTTAACATAAATATGTAGTTACGGTCTAGAAAGAAAAGAAATCAGGAAACAAAATCCTAAATACTTCCCTCAAAGGAAAATTACAGCCCAAACCCAGCAAACAAACCGAAGTCCCTTTGCATAGCAGCAATTCAGTGAGCACACTCCTTCCCTTGAGGGAAAGTTTGGGAAAACAAACAGCACAGGAGAAAGTCTGGCCGGTTTCAATTTGCAAGTGGGAGGTGTGCAGGCATTATGGCTGCGAGTGTGTTATGGGAACCTACGTGATGAGGCTGGTATGTATTTGCCACATTGTGTAAAGGTTGCATACTGAGAGACTTCCAAATGCCTCGCCTGGCAATTCCCAGCTCTGGCATGTTGTCTGTGCAGAATGATTGGCAGACCCTCAGGTTGCACATATCTCTGAAGGAAACCGCGTCCTGCTCAGTTACCCAGAGGTCTGTGGATGCTTAAAAACGTTGTGTTTGTAACCTTTGAAACTGCTGTCTGGTGGCTGGGCTTTATAGTATTACTGACAACAGATGGCAAATGGCTCCGCTGATGTAATTCTTGCTGGTGTTTCATTCCTGTGAAGTTGCACAGTTTGAAAATCTCAGAAAGTGCCTCCATATTTTTCCTGCATAATGATTTCAAGCCAAACTAAATAAAAACATTTTCTATTATTCAGATTCCAGTGGTGTCATGTGACATTGTGGTAACGATTGCCTTGCAGCAGTTTCAGATAAGTGCACGTTTGGTAGCAATTTTAAGGCCTGTGTCCTTTAAGTAATGCTTATTAGGACGTAACAGATGCCGTTTAGAAACATTATGCCTTTTAATAGGCTCTGCTTTTAGCCTACATGTTCCCATTCCAGGCAGACTGTGGATAAGGCAGGCTTGGAGGTATGCTGTAGTTTATGCAAAGCCTAAGTCAATTTTCTGCTCTGAAGTCGAGCCATGTGTTTTTCCTTGTTTCTTCCATTCTGGTCATAGCTGCCTTGCTGTGTTTTTCCCCCTAGTCATATCTTTGGCTGATTGTCAAGCAATTGCAATCAAAACCTTTTGCATTTTTAACCACCAGCAGTGGTTTCTTTTGTCCTTACAGAAGAGCCTGTGTAAACTGAATTTGAACACACTGAGCCTCACTATCAAGAGCACAGCAAGCACACAGTTAGCCCTCTGTTGCCAGCCTGTCTTTCCTTCTCTGCTTTTTCCTCCTCCCAGAAGGAGAAAAAAGGAAAAGCAGAGCCATGCTGATTTTGGAGCACCTTCAAAGACATGTAGAATAGCTGACACAATGGCACAGAGAAACAAGAGCGATGTTTACATATTTCCTCCACTACTGGCAGCTGTTTATTAAAGCAAGTTCTGAGACAGCCTTGTGATAGCTGGTGCAGGTGATGTATTAATTTGCAGCCATGTAATAAATTTAGCAAAGTGGAAATTAGTGGGGGAAGGGATTTTGGTTTTTGTTTCTTTCCTTTCCCCCCACCCCATCCAAATTAATTGCTTTATTTTGAAATTATTCTGTCTGTGCAAATTGGTCCTTGCAAGTAATTTGGAGAAAGGCTGCTAGGCTTTCTTAGGCAGACTTGTGCTCTCTGCTGGTGGGAGCAGTAGGCCTGTCAGATGTAAAGCATTTGCAGCTCAAATGTGGTATTTGAAGCTATCTCTGAAAATCCAGACAGTTGTCTCATATTTTCATCACTACTTTGTTTGCTTGGGGAATATTGTCCTTTCTGATAGCA